ACCGACATAAAACCCCGAAACCCTAACTGTTCTCCAATTTGTGTACGCACAAACAGACGTAAAAAGGGTAAAGCTATCCCCGTAACAGGCCGTGAAGGCCCATATGGTTATGAGACGTCGAGGCTCCCATATTTTATAGACATTCGTCTCACAGATTTTGTCAGCCTTATGCGTAGGCCGACTGCCCTTTACCCCCAGGAAGTTTCCTGGTACTCGTTTCTGTTAGAGGCTGAGTCAACCCCAGGGTCATAGTGCTTCTGGAAGGATTAGATAAATTAAATATCCAGTGGCATGAGGCATCGAACCCGCGACCTTACGGCTTGTAGCATAGTGTCTCAATCCACTACGCTACCGCGTGCCCCCAACGGAAGAGGGCACCTAAATTAATACTCAAACCGGAAGATTTCAAATTGTCTAAATCCCTAAATTTGCTCTCACTCTGTATTTGTGTATTCCGTATGATTCTCACAGTAAACATTTCCTAAACAGGAAATCTGTTTCACTTTGTAATGGAGATGCAGTGTGTTTCCTGTGAGGTCGGAGTGTAATCTGTGAGGGCTACTGAGATGGGTGCCGTGCGGCTGCCCACTTCCGTCCCTACGTCCGCGTAGGTTAACGGCAATCTGATCACGTGGCAGCGCGTAGCGCCGCTTTGCGACCACCTGAACGACACGTCTTGCGGTCTGACCCTCTGCACAGAGGACCACTCTGAAGAAGAAACAAATTTCAGTTTCGAATCTGTCCTGTACTCTAGAGAGGTGTTGTTTGTTGAGGCACTATGCTACAAGTCTACTATTCCCGATGGTTCAATCGACCTAATCCTTCCAGTCGAACCATGGCCCTGGGTTCGACTCAGCCTCTAATAGAAATAAGTACCAGGAATCTTACTGGGGGTAGAGGGCGGCCGGTGCATAAGGCTGACAAACTCACCGCCATCTGTGAATCGATTGTCTAGAAAATGTAGAAGCCTCGACGTCTCACAATCCTATGGGACTCGGAGGTCTGTTACGGGGATAGCTTTACCTTTAAATTTACCATCTCTACTCTCCTAAAAGTTCTGTTTTATACGATCAATAATGTGTTGTGTTCACGTGAGAGCAATTAATTGAGTTCCGGGCTTATGTATCGGCCATGACACTGGCTAACCTCACTGGAATATTTTGTTCTGTTCCTCAATACTTCCATGGAGATTCCCTGGCAGTACTCCGAATTAGGCCACGGCCGTCTGACTTAACTAACTCCATGGAGCTGAGTCCATATTGAGAAGCTGTCAGTTGTGCAGCTATTCAAGAATTTCCCAAAATTTTATGTCGCCGAAAACGTTCACAAACGCCTTCCATTGGTACCTATTCTGAGCCAGATCAATCTAGTCCGTACCACACAACTCATCTCACACAATTATTTTTTGGAGGCAAACACGTTACAGTTCAAAATATACTTATGAAAGGGCATGACATACCCCTCCAGTTGGCTTAGTCAGATCAGGTAGATGTGAAAGGGCGTAGGTATAGTATTCAAGAAAAATTGCCCATTACGGAATGAATGTTTTTTTTTTTATTCTTTAATCCTCGAAAAATTAAATTGTGATTAAGAAACAAAAAATCAATATGAGTTAAATCTGGATTCTTACATCACGACTAGAAACCTTCAAAGTAGTCTCCAAGTGTATCAAATACTCGCTGCCAGCGATGAGGAAGACGGCGAATACCATCATATGGACACAGGGCGTCCACTACGTTGCAAGTCGGCACTTGCTTCTCTTCCACGTTGGAATGCTTCTATCCTCCTTGCAACAGTTATGTTTGGTAGGGCACAATCACCCAGAGCTTCCACAAGCTCTGAGTGACATTCAGTCACATTTCTGCCGCGAAACACTGCTATTTTCACGTAA